GTGTTCATCTTGTTGTGCTAATGCGGTATGGCAACTTGCATATACGTGCCTGGTCCTACGTTGCAGCTGACTGATCGCATCTGTACACTAGGTATTTTAAACTGAGTTAGTGGCTCTTCTCAAATCTAAAGACTTATCACATAAGCATTCCTTGGTAATTGATGATAAAAATTATGTTCTAAATACTGGTAAAATATAATTCGTTTACTGTCAAGCAAAAAGCGTAATGCTAGACAGTTATATGATTAGAAATTAACTAACCATTACACCTGTTATCGAGGATACCACTTCACATTCAAGTGGGTTGCGGACAGTTTGATTCATGATATATAAGCTGAAAACAGGAATTTCCGCCTTCAAATCATCCGCCTTAGTGTTCAATTCAATTATTCGAGTTCACTTGAGTTGCGCGTTTTCATCAACTTAACATACTCCTTGGTATTATATCAGCTAATATATGACAATTGAAGTGCTAACCGACTTCAATGTTGTAAAGTTCATAGTCCATTCGTAAACTCTGAAAGCAATAATAAGCAGTAGTCTTGCTGAATACACTAAACTCAGTTTAGTAAAGATGTAGGTAGGGAAATCGTGATGTTTACATGGGGAGGCTGATTGCACAACTTGACATTTGTTACCAGGATACTCGGAAACCAATAATAGATAGTCAATTTTTATTTGCGAAACGAGTGTTCTATTGTAAAATGTTCTCACATGGCCACGCTTATATAGTCTCTGCCAGGGAACTCCTACTCATTACCTCGTGGCGGGGGTGTTGTTCACGAAAATGAGAGTATGTAAGCGAATATCCGGCGCTTATACGGGGTTGGTCGATGTGGAGGATCTACTTAGGGAAGTTGGAAAACCCTGATTCCAAACCAATGGTGTCCATGGGCTCCAGTATCCTGAGGGAACAAATGGTGTATGAACCAATCATCGGTCACCACCTACCATGGGACTGCATCTCCTTACGATGCTCCACTGCTTTGTGGATCAGATCTTCAGGTCGAAGGCTCGGGGTGTGGCCCCTTAAGAAAATCATCTGTTTCGGTTTGGGCACCCGGGCAGTATCATAGCCCTCACACAAATCAAATGAGATTTGTGTGGCGTATATGTATTTGGTGCCTCCTTGTACCACTTATCAAGGAAACCGGTATTAGGAACCCAACTGTTAGCGAAACAATCTCAGAGAAAGATGGATATATTATTCCCTCTCAATCCAGGAGATTGGATCGATGGGCAGAACACTTTAGGGATCAGTTCAACTGGCCTTCAGCCACACTTCGGTTTCCCACGATCTCCAGTCGACCCGAATGGCAAGTTAATGTAGGTCCTCCGACTCTTGACGAAGTTGAAAAAGCTATAGGAAATCTGAAGCGAGGGAGAGCACCAGGTCCTGACAGGTTCACTCCTGAAATGTTTAAGGATGGTGGTGCAGTATTAGCAGTGAGATTAACTGAGATCATAGGTTGAATTCAGGAACTGGACGTAATCCCATCTGACTGACCTCAATCATTGATTGTGCCAGTCAATAAGAAAGGACAAAAGTCTTCTTGTGACAATCACAAAGGGATCAGTTTGACTAATATAGTGTCTAAAATATTAGCTTCAATAATACTTCGGCACCTAACTAAAGCTCATGAAGAGCAGATGAGAGAAAACCAGGCTGGTTTTCGACCTGGACGTGGTTGTATAGACCAGATATTCACACTACGTCAGGTCCTAGAACATAGACACACATTCAGACGCCCCACAATGTTAGTATTTCTCGACCTTAAGGCGGCATTTGACTGTTGATCGTGAGGTTCTATGGCAGTGTTTGTCACTGAAAGGAGTACCAAAGAAATACATTAACCGTGTAAAGACTCTCTACTCGAACACAAATGGTCGAGTGAAAGCTTATGGCAAACTGCCATCAGAACTGATTACCTCAAGTGGTGTTCGTCAGAGCTGTCCACTCTCACCATTCTTTTTCAACTTTGTCGTTGATGTCCTTTTAGAAATGACACTTTCCACATCTGACTTTCTAGGGGTTGAACTTCTACCGGGAGATTCACATTTTGACCTAGAATATGCCGATGACATAGTTCTATTTGGTGAAGACGCTGACAGAATGCAGAGTCTGATGACCACTATAAGCAACAATGCAAACATGTTCGGCATGCGATTTTCTCCCTCGAAATGCAAAATGTTGCTTCAGGATTGCGTTGTATCGACACCCGAACTAGTGATAGGGAGTGAAGTAGTTGAGAGTGTCGACCACTTCACTTATCTCGGAAGTCTCATCAGCCCTTGTGGTCTGGTGTGTGACGAAATCTCAGCACGAATACAGAAGGCTCGACTAGCTTTTGCCAACTTGCGTCATTTGTGGCGTAGGCGAGATTTCCGTCTATCAATCAAAAGACGGGTTTACTGCGCAGCAGTTCGTTCTGTCCTACTTTATGGCAGTGAAACATGGCCGGTAAGAGTGGAGGATATTCGTGGGTTACTAGTATTCGACCATAGATGTTTTCGAAACATTGCTCGTATATCCTGGGGACCACCGAGTAAGTGATGAAGTTGTTAGGATACGGGTACTAGGTAGGGATGGCAAATCAATTAACGAAGTAGTGAAACTTCATCAGTTGAGATAGCTGGGACATGTGTTACGTATGTAGAACCCAACCACCGACTGTTTCGACGTGCGATGTTTTATGGTGTAGGGTAGTGTAGGTTGGAAGAAAGCTAGGGGCGGCCAGACCAAATCATGGCACAAATCCATGAAGTCACTGACAAGTGGACTGAGCCATGTTGTTAGGTGTAGACTACCTGGTTGGGATCCGCGAGACGATAGCAACCGATGGTTAGAAACCTTGAATGACATGACTCAAAATCGTTTGCAATGGTGTGCGCAGATGCATCCACTCTTTGTGTTCTTCCAAATTCTAATCTTCTGAATTCTTCATGTCCCTTTTTTTCGTCTTTCCAAATCTATTCCACTGGACTATACTCCTTGAATAACATCTTCAAACCTTAATCTTTCCGATTTCTGCTTATACTCTTACCACCTCTACCACTATGGGATTTGAATCGACAACTACATCTCTGTGCTAATGTGGTATGGCAACTTGAATTGATGTACGTATGTACGAAGTTCTACGTTGTTAGTGACTGACTGACCTCCTTGTACTAACATCTATGTGTTCAAATAAAATAAAAAGTTGGAAAGGTGGTAATTAATTAAAAACTATGAAGTGGTATTTTTTTCAATACTTGAAGATGCTTTGATGAAAGTAAACTGCACAGTATGCCCAGCAATGTATTTGTCTGAATGAACCATATAATATCAATATTATACACATTCATAATCTACTTAGTCTTACTCATAAACAAGATGTCGAGTGTGCCTTAACAATAATCCTTCGGCAATATGACTGTTCTTCACTCTGCTTCTTAGAGGCCTTTTCAGTTAGGAGATAAAATCAAACCCCGAAGTTTGTTTGCTATTCCCTGAAAATGAATACTATTTGAATATGTCATATTTATTTTTATCTTGCAAGTTACCTCTCAATACTTTCACACAATTTTGACATTATGATTTTTTGAATATGGACGGATAATTTAAGTGTGAGATTTTGGGAATTGTTCTACGATGGTTCATACGTTTTTCAAATATTTGGTTTTCCATATTTTTATATTCCCTTAATTGTAGGCTTTAAAACAACTCACTAACTATCGATGTATGTTTTATTAGCTGCAAATTACACTTAATTATGTGCTTGTTACTTAGATTTCTTCTCGAAACGACCTAATCATTTTCTATTTATGGTGAGTTTGTGATCCTGTAGTCGATGTTTATTATTACGACTTTTCTAGTCGTAACAAAACAATAATCGAAGAAAGTCGGCTGGTTTTCTTAGTTTTATGATTAAGCAGGTTGAGGGCAGAAATAATTTCTGTGGGCTAATCAGCGTCAGTATACTTATTGAGCATAACGCATAAAACGAAGGTCATCAGTGTTATTTGACTTGAAGTGGACTCAACAACCGGTGGGTCTGCTAAATGGCAATATAGTGACTAAATTTATATCATGACTACTTTCCCGTGTGCGGTCTTTAAACTTTTTGATTTATGTATTCGAATTTGATCTGGGATGTTCTCGTTTAACGATAAACTGAATTTCTTCAGTTTCTAGTACACGGTTGCGTGCACAATTAATTCACTGTATTTCACGAAATGTATTGTTACTCGTCTAATTCTTATAAGTAGGCCATTTTTATGGTACATTCAATTCCGACTCATCAGTTTAGATGTTTGATGCATATTATGTGATCTCAAGATCCGTTCTTCAGTCCTGTGTGGAGTCGTAGATATATGGCACTGAGGTGTCTAAAATGAACAAAACAATTATCCGATGGTCCTATAGGTTTCAATCATTTCTCCAATTAATTTCACTTTATGACACAATTTTGTGAGAGTGTAGTGTCGGTTGCTGTGTCAAGCCTACACAGCTTATTCTGGCTTCCGGACAGGCCAATTTATTCATCTTTCTTGAGTCACATTTTGACCTTACTAACTATTCGCCTGTCAACTTGACATTTATGTGAGCGTGTGTGTGCATTTCTTATCTTACTCTCACATGTCTGTAACTTATTTTTGTCTGACTATAAATACTGAGTAACGTTTAATTAAAGTGATTTGGTTCACATTCTTTCTCCAATCCGTTTCTCTTCACTTTTTTCACCCCATCCTCTAATTGTCTGTTCTGATCAACGATTGTACAAAGTATACTTATTCAAAACTTCATTCTCGTATTTGACTTACTTAATTCCGTTATTCACCAAGACGAGTTAAGTCGATAATTATATGCGAGGATTGGCAACATGTGTAAGACGATAATGATAATCACACGATTAGATTAGAGTTCAATATACACGGACCACTAAAATAGTTTTCTATTTCATACAGTACCTAAACATTTTATAGAGCCCCCCCTTCTTGTTAATTCAAAAGATAATATTAAAAAGAAAGTACGAATGTTTATAAATTACAAGGAGATAGAAATTTCATTGACACAAGTTTATGTAAACGATTTCTGGTGAATCGAGTTTAAAGTAATCAGATTGAATCACCATTTCATTTGGATCATGTGTAGATATACAAATCGTTTTCAGTTTGAATTAATACTATAACATAAAACCTTGTGTGTATGAATTAAAAATAGAACAATAATTGTTTTATGTGAAAATAGATTCATCGATAAATACCACTAGAGTGCGGCACGACAACGCTTTTCAGGATTCATCAGTGTTCCAACTGGACAATTAAAAGTATCAGAGAAATCGGGTAGTTCATTCATTATATGATTGACTCTATCATATCAGGAAAATTAATTAGAGAAAGGCAAACATTAGATGATTGTTTATGTTATTTAATTTAATGTTTATTAAATATATTGATAAATGTCAAATAACTTGAGGTGGGGTCGAGCAACGTTTTACTGTCAAACTACACACAGTCAATAATAAAGAATTGTTAATCAGTAACACGTAAACATAACCCGCAAATTACTTTGGATATATCTTATGGAATAAATTCTAAACGATATGGGAGTTCGCAGCATTTACTATCCTGAATTTAATGGTCGTATTTCAAATGTAATCAAGTCTCATTATTTTGATTGAAGTCATACGGAATCCTTATTCCGTAATACTTATTAATACAACCTCGCCTGTAAAATCATTTGCTCACTGACGATCTTTCACTAAACCATTTTACCATATTAAGTAGAATTATACTAGTTTTCATAATAATTTCAGTTACCTTCTTGAGTATACTGGTTTTACACAATACTCAATGATATATCGGTGTTGTGACAGTTCAGTCATATCTCTCAATAAACCAGTGATCCATTTGCGAATTTCTTCGGAGAAAATCAATGAAAATGTTCTACACTTTCTGATCACATGTTACATAGCATGAGTTCTTATTACACTAAACATAAAATTTGTGTAGTGGTAACTGAAAAGTGTTTGACAAGCAAAACTACTGGATCTACAAAAAGAGATGTAAGTTGAACAAACACATCTCCGCGCACTAAGTTTTCCTTATACATTTAAACAATAGAAAAAGTAGAGCTGAATTGTCTGGTTTTTTATCTTTCGAATTCTGTGATTGTGTTTCATACATCTCTAGTTAACTCTGATAGATTTTCATTCCGTTTTACTGATTTTACATTAAAACTGATCATGAAATTCTATTTCAAAATGTTTATGTTACTTGAATCTTATATTGCAAAATATATCATTGTTTCTGATTTCCACTTCTATGAAATTTCATTATTACAAAATTATAGCATTTGGTAATAGTTTTTGTCTTAACGTTTAGTTGTACATCAATAATAAATGGATTATTAAAGTACAATATATTTACTGATAAATGAATTCCTACTATGAAAAGGATGAATAAGAACTGGAAAGAGCTGGAAAGGATTGACCAGGACAGGGTTGGATGGCGAATGCTGGTGAGCGGCCTATGCTCCTTCACGAGGAGTAACAGGCGTAAGTAAGTAAGTAAGTAAGAATTCCTACTATATTTTTTTATTGAAATCTAATGTTTAAGAAAATTGATTGCCTTTTTTTCAACAGAATTTCAGTTCCAAGTTCTCTTGAATGTATTTACGTTTATCATTTAAATATACTTTCCAATTAACTTCGACTGTGAACATAATCAAACTTATAACTGACGGTAACTAATCAGTCGAGCGATTATGCAAATGGCTAATGTTAATGACTTAATATGCTTAATATCAATTTTTATGTTGAACTGTTTCCATAGTATGCAGTTGTGCACTTTCATCGACTAAAATAACTACATATATGACGTGCATATCCAGTCACCGTCTACTTTGACTTGGAGTACTGGCCATCAGAGAGAAAGCTGAGGTTGGTTTGTAAACTTAAGTATGTACACTTCTTTCTGTTAGTTATTTGTCGGCTGGAAAGATCTCCAAACCTGTATTTCCAGTTCTCGATATACGTCGTACCTATAAATCGTCGCTTAAAATATAAAGTTGTAATTTATTAGGTGGTTACACAGTTCCACGAACCACAACTTCCAAATATATCGGTTTTCATTGGGACTCATTTTAAGTCGAGTAACTTTAATGTGACCACTTATCACCCAAACGGACTATTTTTCAAAATTGAACTTACATCGGAAATGAACCATTTCTATTTTCAAGAAAGATCTACTAATCAGTTGTTAAGATATTCGAACTGATAATAATTCAATTTATGATTACATGAAAACACTACAGCAGTCCCCTCCCCACTCTTACGTCTAACTTTCATAAAATTGATACTTTTGATTGTTTTAAAATGTACACTACTTACAAAACTTCATAAGGTGGTTGAGGTGTTCTTACAATCATTTGATAATATTCATCCCATAAATCCATATCATGACAAAATGTCTGGGAAGACAAAAAAATGTGTTGAATATTATTCAAATATTTCATCATAAACTTTTGATAATAATAATAATAAATATTTTATAGTTCCTAAGCTACCATATAATCTTCATAGATTGAATTCTGGGTTGTTTTCAGTTAGATCAACAGTGAGCAGCTCCCATGTTTTAGTATAGGACCCCTCAACAATGGGCATCCACGATATTAATAGGGTTAAGAGACGGTCTCACAATATTGCAAATTGATTAAGATTAGGTGTGTATGACATTTGATGCAGGGTCAGTGGTCTGGAGGTTGAACGCTTCTAGGTTCAACCACATCTTGATTTGTGAATCCATTCCAATGAGAAATCCCATGCTAGAATGAAGAAGCTGTCCAGAGCTTTCCGGTTTTTTAATGTTTGTCAGACTAAGACCAGTCCGTGATATAAACTATGGAAATTCAATCATCTCCATAAATCACATAACAAAATTATTAAAAATTTATCATTCATGTCATGTTAACCAAGAGAAAACTTATACAAGAATATTGTGAAAGTGTATTGTCATAGTATAGAAGTACTGGGCAGTGAAAATAGGAACTGGCTTTATTTCAGTTTGGCATACTTTATTATCACAGGTTTGAATAAATATTCCATAGATCTCTTATATATTAGTTGAATAAGTCAGTAATAGTCATCATCATCATTGACATTTCTGTTCTTTCAACATATTTAATCTTGACTTTATAAATTTCCTTTCATTATCATGATGTGTCAACTTTAACTGATCAAAACTTGTATCAGGTCCCGTGTTATTACTGACTGAATGGTTTTGATACGATATTCCGCAGTCATATAACTGATTACTCTTTGGGAACTTCTTGACTGATGATGTAGTGTCTGTCATTATGTTAAGCCCAAATACCTTATTCTAACTTCCGGACAGCCCATTCTATTCATTCTACTTGAGTCACATTCTGACCTCATCAATCTTGACTGTCTTTATATGAGCGCGTGGGCGTGTGTTCACTTCTTATCCCACTGTTCATCACATGTCTGTAATTTATTTTTGTGGGCTCATAAATATTGATTAACTCTTTGTTAAGGGGGTGTTGGCTTACCAGCCATCTCCACCAAGCGTCATTTTTGCTTCGCTTTCTTTTCTTTGCATCGTTTCCCCGTTCGTTTGTTTGATCAACGATTCTACAAATATATGTATCCAAAGTTCCATTCTCGTTACTTGACTTATTTATATCCGTTATTGACTAACGCGATTTAAGTCAATGATAATATACGAAGATAGGCGATAGCAAACATTCATACGATCTAAACGGCGACAGAACAACGGGCTACTACAATGACTTATGACTAACAAAATGTAACATGTACCACTAATAATAACGTTAATTCAACATTATTATATGAATGTTTACATGTTTCTTTGGTGAATAGCGTTGTTTCCAGTTATATGTGGAAGAATTGAATCAATCATATAAATTTAAATTTTTTATGATTACTTACTTGTGCATATATCAAGTAGAATAACTGTTTGGAATTAAATGCAACACCAGGTAAATGTCGTAAATATTTTTCACCAGGGGAATCATTAATCCAATCTTCGAATGCCTATTGCGAAAAAAATAGGCAAAATATCAAGGGAAGATAGTGCTAATTGAAGTTCCAATTTAGTATTCAATAAATCACAGATAAATTTGAACAGTAACATGACTATCTAGCCCTATTTTTTTAAAAAATCTGTTTCTGATTCATATCTGAAGATATTGACAATAACTCGCTTCACTTTGATACATGGATATAACAAACTTTATTTTTCTTCCAACCCTAACTACTACAAAAGACGAATCTTCCAATGAATATTTATTCTATTGATACTGTAGAAGGTTGATGTAAGTAAGTAGAACGTGCGTACAAATATATTTACAATCACCTCGGAATTAGGGTTTAAAGCTAGTTAGAAAATGGAGTCTTCAAACTCCGAAAAAATGTAAGATAGCTTCAGTGTGAAACTGGAAAAAACATTCAAAATTCAAAAATAGGTGTCTTTATGGGTCCCGTTGTTTATATCAAGGACCACAATTGGTCAGCCTCTTTTAGCAAACATGTATCATGAGTATCTTCCTTCAATATTAACACTAAGTCACAAGCATTTTCAAGCAGTTTTGTTAAAGATTAGCAGTGAAATGCAAGATGAGCACTTTCTCATTAGTTGGATATACTTGCAGCTTAGTGTTGATCCTCATACTAACGCTTGAATTCGGTGCCTTTAGATTCAAACACCCAGTTCATTATATACTGGTCTACTGAGTTCAGATAGCTACGGGCTTGTGCAACTGAGATGAGTATTATTGTATTTGTAAGGATTGGAATCTTCCTGTTACCGTTAGAGAAAACTCGAATCATTATAAATGAAAGAAGTCCATTGATTTATCAAATAGATTAAAGATGTTTCAGCGAAGAGAACTTTCTTGTCCACGATATCATTTCCTGAAGTTGTATAATTGTACTTATGGACAGTGTTTACATGAAATAGTTTATAGTAAAATGTTATAATGTTATAAAATTAGTCTGTGAAGTCTGTTCGACTAAAATAAAAAAAGTTGTTAAAGGAAATCAAGTTCAACCCAAAAAGTGACTGTGAACGTCTAAGACTATAATCAATAAAGTGAGTATTATTTAAGAATAGTAAATCTTAGCATAATAGTCTATAGGTCAAAATGAAGCTTATAATAAGAGGAATATAGATATACATAATCTAGTTACTGAATAGTTGTACAATAAGAATATTTGTATATATATATATATATATATATATAACACTTTTGATACGATATTTTCTACCTTTCTATAGGCTGGAAATATTTATCACATAACTATAAATACGAGTGTACAGATTAACTAGATGATTTCGTAGATAATAAAATTTCCCTATTTTATTCAATGACACAGTAGGTCACTTTAATCACTCTATATATGAATTTGATTTTGTATATGAGAAGAGAAATTAAAGTGTATAAATTCAGTTACTCAACTTTGGGATACACCATTTTTGTATGAAGGTTGATAATATAATGTAGATCTCTGTGTGACAAAGTGGATGAAATGAAGTTCAGATCTGCAATTTATTGGTTGTCAATTTCTGTGGTATACCTGTTTGGCTTTATTGAGTTTAAAGCAAAATTAATCTGTATGATAAATCTCCGTAGTGTAATAAGAATATGAAATGACGTAGTTAAAAAGATTGATAATGTTTTTAGACATTATTATAAAATACTTAGTGATTAATTAGTTTCTTTTATTCAGAGAAGTCATAGAGAAATGTTGTTGTATACGTTCTGGTCTATTTTGTTCACCATATATTTGTCATCATATATCTGTTATCAGAACTGATTACCTCAAGTGGTGTTCGTCAGAGCTGTCCACTCTCACCATTCTTGTTTAACTTTGTCGTTGACGTGCTTTTAGAAATGACACTTTCCTCATCTAAATTTCCAAGAGTTGAACTTCTACCGGGAGATCCACTTGTTGACCTAGAATATGCCGATGACATAGTTCTATTTAGTGAAGACGCTGACAGAATGCAGAGTCTGCTGACCACTATAAGCAACAATGCAGGCATGTTCGGCATGCGATTTTCTCCCTCGAAATGCAAAATGTTGCTTCAGGATTGCGTTGTATCGACACCCGAACTAGTGATAGGGAGTGAAGTAGTTGAGAGTGTCGACCACTTCACTTATCTCGGAAGTCTCATCAGCCCTTGTGGTCTGGTGTGTGACGAAATCTCAGCACGAATACAGAAGGCTCGACTAGCTTTTGCCAACTTGCGTCATTTGTGGCGTAGGCGAGATATCCGTCTATCAACCAAAAGACGGGTTTACTGCGCAGCAGTTCGTTCCGTCCTACTTTATGGCAGTGAAACATGGCCGGTAAGAGTGGAGGATATTCGTGGGTTACTAGTATTCGACCATAGATGTTTTCGAAACATTGCTCGTATATCCTGGGGACCACCGAGTAAGTGATGAAGTTGTTAGGATACGGGTACTAGGTAAGGATGGCAAATCAATTAACGAAGTAGTGAAACTTCATCAGTTGAGATAGCTGGGACATGTGTTACGTATGTAGAACCCAACCACCGACTGTTTCGACGTGCGATGTTTTATGGTGTAGGGTAGTGTAGGTTGGAAGAAAGCTAGGGGCGGCCAGACCAAATCATGGCACAAATCCATGAAGTCACTGACAAGTGGACTGAGCCATGTTGTTAGGTGTAGACTACCTGGTTGGGATCCGCGAGACGATAGCAACCGATGGTTAGAAACCTTGAATGACATGACTCAAAATCGTTTGCAATGGTGTGCGCAGATGCATTCACTCTTTGTGTTCTTTCAAATTCTAATCTTCTGAATTTTCATGTCCCTTTTTTTCGTCTTTCCAAATCTATTCCACTGGACTATACTCCTTTAATAACATCATCAAACCATAATGTCCCGTATCTCTACTTATACTTTCACTACCTCTACCACAGTGGGATTTGTATCGATAACTGATGTGCTAATGTGGTATGGCAACTCGAACTGATGTACGTACGTACGAAGTTCTACGTTGTTACTGACTGACTGACTGATATTTGTATTTGCTATTAAAAAAAGTTATCATGAATAAAGGTACTTACAGATCTAGCAATATCTAATCCAGATGCTTCATTAATAACTGCACGTGTGACTTTCTTGATGTCATCATCCATTGATGACATAACCTGTAAAACAGATAAGCTAATTAAAGTATAAAAACGTCGTACACTTTTATTTTAACAACTAGTTCTAGTAATTTCTTCATGATCGTGTTTTATTTATTGAATAAACTCTTAATATAAGACACAATAGCATTTGGGGCTAACAGTAATTGTTATTAATAGATTAGTAATTTGAAATATGAATAACTTGAGAACAAAGTTAAGTGTTAACTTATATCTTTTGTTTAGCTTTCCTTTAAAAAGATTAGATCAATATATAAACCTGAATCAATATTAGTTGTATTGAATGCCAAATCTTATGTTGATTTCCTCTTATTAAGTAATTTCAGTTCCGTTTAAAACATCCGCCTCAGCTTCATTACATTAAGTTGTTAGCAGCCAGTTAGAACGCAAAAATGAGGACTACCTACGTTTACTCAGTGGCTTCAAAATATAAGCTAGCTTATGAAATACGACATCATTTATCTACCAAAATGTTTACCTATCTGAAATTTTATGCACCAGATAATGTTATGTTCGTTGTAACAGAGCCACTAATCCTGATTTCAAGAATGACCAGAATTAATACAAATTTAATCATTTCCCTGTAAATAATAACTACTTGTTAATTGATCCTTTTAAATAAAAAAGAGAAAAGTGGTGCCCTTGAGAACTCCGCCTGGAATCCCTCCGAGAGCTACTGCCGGTCCCGAGCTCGGACAAAGGAGGAAGGTTGAGCATGGGGTTAGCGACTCCATCCCGTAGAAAACGAACTCGCTAAAAAACGCTAACCAGATGTTGGTCGGCGGAGTAACAGGAGTAAATAAGTAAGTAAGTGTTTAGCTTCAAAAGTAACAAACCTACTTTTTACCTTGTTTCCAGTTACAAATGAATTAAAGAACGTGAAGCCTCAAGTATTCTGAGATGATGGAGAGTATCTTTAGCTCAAAATGAGGATATTGTTCAGGAGGACAATAACAGCTTCACGAATAAACTATCCAGCTCATAAAGTACACACTTTCAAAATCCTCAACAACTGATTAATTCTTATTATTTTATGAACATTGAACTCTGAAGGGTATTTACTTGATAATTGTTGTTATAATTCTCTCTCTTACAGTTATAACCCAACTATTCCTATTGCTTAGTATTCACGGACACCAATTCACTCGACAAGTCCTCAAATCAGGACACGATTGAACAGGAAAGAGATTGTATTCCAAATAACAAGGTTAGATGGAAGTAAACAAAAGCACAATAGGAAAAACGTTAGTATATTTATAGTTTTTACATGAGAAGATTTCAAAGTATTCTTCAAGCATCAGCTAGAGCTGATTGGATAAGAATCAGCCAATCAGCGTGCGCCAAAGCAATCGCGCATTGAGGGTTAACATTAATTGCACGGTCATTTCATTTATTTTTTTTCACCCCTTTCGAAAACATTTTTCATCCCCATCTTCCCATAATTTTCATTCTGTTCCATCCAATCAAATAGCTAGTTTGAAGTTCGTTATAATTGGTCGTTTATTTCTCAAACTTGATCTAAAATGTCAGGACCACACGAGAGAACACTCTTCCAATTACGGGTAGTAGTAAGGCACAAGGCACGAGCTCTGTCGTTTCTCACGTAGTCACAGAAACCAGTAACCTATTTTTGAGCACATTGTATATCGTAGCGTTCCAATCACTTGAATTTAATATACAGCTCCCGATCTCTATGGAAATGAAAATTTCTCACCGCATAATGGCAGTACGTAGCTCTTTCATAAGTTCTAACGACGCTCTTCAACGCTTCAAGTAATCGGAACGCTACGACATACAATGTGCTCAATAATAGGTTATCGGTTTCTATGATAACGTAGGAAACGACAGAGCCCGCGCTTCACATCCTACTACCATCCTTAATTGCAAGAAAATGTGCTCTGTCGTTATGTCCTGACTATCTATATAAATTTTAAGAAATAAACGACCAATTATAACGAACTCAAAACTAGCTATTTGATTGGACGATACAGAAAAAAAATTTTTTGGAAGATGGGGATGAAGAATTTTTTCGAAAGGGGTGAAAAAAATTTCACTCGAAAAAAAAAATTAAAAAATGGCCGTGCAATTAATGTCAACCTGCATTAAACATACTTTAATCTAATCTATATCCCGGTAACAATTGTATATTGATGTAAATTGTAAAAAGTAATAAAACTATTTTAAAAAAAAGAACAGAAATGCTTATATCCCCATACAAATTTAAGATAATGTAAACTATACCAAAATTAATCCAATTATTATTAACTTACAAAATCGGAAAAATTAAAATAATTTTTTGATGCATCATAAATTTGATTTTGAACGCATTTCTTTTGTTCTTGATATTTACGAGTAGTTTCAGATGTCCAAACTGATTGAATTTCACCACCTTTCAGCATAACTGATCCTTATATCCGTGGATTTTTCAAATTGTCGGAGAAAAAAATAGAATCAAAATTAAACTATTAAAATTGATAATCATTGTACTAATTGTCGTATTTTCCAGAAACAATGATGTAAACTATATGACTATAGTTCTTTCATAAATTCCATGATGTCTTTATCTTGTTTAAAGTCTTAATAAAACATTTTTAAATAAGATTTAATCTATGAGTGATGAAAAGCTTGAATAAAATGCAAAATCGAATAAGCCGCTTTAAGATTCAAGACAGAATGGTAAATCACATAGTAGTATGAGTGAGCTAATATGAATTAATAAACCATTCATCAACTCAGGGTTACTTCTACTGACATTTCTGCCTTGGTCAACTTTGGAATATATGAATACATCTGAAATATAAGTAATTTGATTTTGTTTCTGGATGTACAGTTTCTCTACAGTTTTTATCTTCTTTATTGGCTCATTTTGGTAGAGAAAGAGTTAAGGTAGTGGAATGGAGACTGCATCGGAGCACAGATCATAATAACAACTGGTATGAAAGAAGATTATGCATCTTTGAAAATGAATAGTCTATTTACATTTTAAGCCTTGATCGAATTCAACTGTGATGAAAAGAATGTTGATTAATCGCTTGGTTGAGTAGTTTATATACATTTATGTTAGATTACATCTGCGAATAGTAACAGGACCTGGAAACCTGGTCGTCCTAAAATCATAATTCAAAGGTCAATTACCAGGTAAAAATCATAGCCGTAAGTCAGAAGGGACATATTAAAGAATATTGAACCGAACAGAATATTTCCATTATTTAGTCAAACGAAAGTCAGTTTAAAAGACGGATATCAGCTGACATCTTTCATCTTCTTAACATGTGTTTATCACAACGAGAATAATACTAGGGAAGCTTATCATCAACCTTTACAGCTGAATGGAAGGTGAAAACAATAAGTTCTATTTTTTCATATTTATTCGACATTGAACACCAAATTCAAGTACATATATAGTCATCTTATACATCCCTCTTGTAAAATAACATTTTTAAAACAACAAAAGCTGTAGGAATTAACTTTAATAGGCCCAACCTATGTATTTGGAAGGGTTTTTGTACCTCTGTGACTTTTTACAGTCTTCTACTAAATCAAATAACTATGAAATAGAACTTAATTTGTTAGATTTTTACTCTTAATTATATGCCTGGTGACAGTAAGCCATTACTGATCGACAATAAAAGGCAGAAATATTACGTTACACTGAACACAAACAATTTTATATTGTTATTAATTCTATTTGTATCCTAATTTGAGTTTACTTGTTGACTGCTTTTTGCTGTCAGTAAACTGAATTTTGGTCTATTTATAGTTTGATCTTAGGTCGAATATTTGGGTCTAATGTATCGTATGATCTAGTATGATAATATACTGTCTAGAGTCAGTAGTCTAGATAACTGAACTCTTTATTTATTATAACACCCATACTTACTCATCGAGTATCAAGGATGAACCGATTGAGTAATCAATGAATCAGTCAATCAATCAATCTTTTGCATTAACTCAACAGCATTTTTATTTGACACTATAAGTTGATAAGTTTTGTTAACTGACTCAAAACTAATGAATTGGTATTAGTTTGATAATCAATTGAAAAATTTATGATAAGATTAGCTAGATGAAAAAAAGTATCTTTCTTTAATGGTTTGAGAGAGTCGAAACATATCATATGCTTGTACTCATAGGGTATTTCAAGGCAAATTGATGAGTGAGATGTAGTAAACAAAACGCGTTTTTAGGAGTCGATTATGAAAATGATCAAGGTTTTAGTTCAAATGCTAATGAGCTATACGCACTTTATTCGACTTGCCAATTACTTATTATAACAGGTGAGGCAAGCAAATAAGAGGTAAATATATCTGAATCGGGCATTCACGAAATCATACAATTTTATATGCTATAGCATTAATAAATTTTATAGAACTAACCATATTCCCCAACTAATATACCAATAGCAGTACCAATCAAAGATCCTAAACCACCAAAATTGAAAGCAGCTGGTAAATTATGATGAAATATTGGTAACTGAAGCATTCCAGGTGGAATAAACACTTCATCTAACTGTAAATATAAAGCTACGTGTGAATCATACACCATAACATCCCTTGAACTCCAATTTTCTTCACTTGTTTCCGTAACACCAGAAAGTAAACGATTATACACTCCACGAATATATTGAATAGCTGAGAATAGATTGTTTAAGTAATTATATGAAGTTCTCAGCTAAAAAAATTAGAAAAGGATACATTCTCTATAATTATTTATGCAAAAATTAGTGAAATATTGGGATAATTTGAAAAGAACTATAAAAATAATCGTCTTATAATTGTTATGTTACTTTACTCCAAAGTCGGAATGGACAACACCAGGTATTAAGATATCATGCGGCGAGATGGAATGACTAGGATAAAGGAACGAGAATGGTGACAGATTTGCAAATTCATGTGCATTCAACAAAATGGTTATATGTGGTACAATATTCCTACACAACTACATACACAAAGCTACATGGGTCTCTCTGGATCACATCACGGAGAACCAGATAAATAATATTTGCATCAGAAAAAATTCGCAAGGTCAATGGAAGAAGTGAGAACCAGGAGAGGAGCTGACATAGTTTCAGATCACCACGTGGTTGTGGCCCAGATGAAACTGAAGCTAGACAAACACTGGACAGCTGAGGAAACAGCAATACAAGATTCAAGTAAAAAGAACAAGGAGACAGCAATTAACAACAGCTGAACAAGAACAGAGAAATTCAAGGCTGAACATACAGAAGAAACGAAGCAAGTGAAGAGTAGCATTAGAGCCGACAAGCGGAAATACGTGGAAGACTTAGAAGCGAAATTGGAAAAGACCACAAGAGAAGCAAATATGAGACAACTATATGACACCGAGGAAACTGGTAGAGAAATACAGTAAACCAAAGAGACCAGTCAAGGAAAAAGAAGGCACGACAATCAATGAGATTCAGGAACAGAGGAACAGATGGGTGGAACAGGATATCGAAGCAGCACACACGGACCTTCCTATGGATATCAATCCACCAATGATCAAACTAATCAGGGTGGTCATCAGACAAATCAAGAGTGGGAAAGCAGAAGGACTTGACTGTTGGGGTGATCCAAAACCTCGCAAAAGCCAAGAAACACTCAGGCAACATTAGAAAGCATTTTCTCCAATCAGCGTTCACTGGAAGTTTAGCCAGAAAAGTCACATGTAGAGTTTCTGATTGTCTGATTACTATACTGCAACTACGTTTAGTAGTATTCCATTATTTTTGGGAAACCCAAGGACATCTAGGATACTATAAAAACACTATATTTTATGTATTAGAACGAAACATTGGGATAACGTGCTTCTCGCATATTTTGCGCCTTTTCTCTCGTGTTCAAGTCGCTGTGTAGTTCTAGCTTAGGGGTCACTAGAATAGCTTAGGAACCAAATATAGCATTCAATTAGCAAGAATTATCACTGACAGCATACCAACTGGAGCATTCAAGTCAGAATTAGAAGCTACTGAAAACATGCTCCACATTCTATTCAAAAACATTTAGGAGGAAAATCATGTGTCAATGAAATGGAAAGAAAGACACCAAATCAAGATACCAAAGAAAGATCTGAGCAAACGTGAGAACTACAGAAGCCAGAGCATCACACTAATGTCAGTATCTGGAAAGGTTTTCAACAGTGTTTCTGAACCGGATGAAGAATCCAGTGGACGTCCAACCTCCAGAACAACAGACCTGAGACCGTAAAGATCAATCGTGAACAGACCAAATCACGACACTATGAATCATTGTTGAACAATCAATTGAATGGAACTCATCACTACACATCAACTTCCTTGACTATGAGAAGCATTCGACAGTGCGTATAGTGAGGACTTTATGCAACCTTATTTGACACTATCACATACATGAGAAGATGGTCAAAATCATCCGGAATTCATACGACGGATAACAGTGCGAAGTGGTGCATGGAGGTTGTATGACAGATGAGTTACGAGTGGAGACCGCAGTCAGACAAGTCTGATTACTCTGCTCATTTGTCTTTCTTCTGGTGGTTGACTGTATTGCAAAGACCTTGACATGTGAGGGGAACCAAGATTTGTTTCTACGGGATGGGGTTGCCGGCCCCATGCTCAACCCTACTCCTCTGTTCGGTCTTGGGCAAATTCAGAAATATTTATAATAATAGTTAGGATACATAATAAAATCGCTACTTACACTTAATCCTTAAAATATGTGTTTGAAATATAGAATCAACAGAGTACTGTGCGAATACCATAAATTGTATAATAATGAATCACTAGTTAGGTTATATGAAGATATAATGATGAGATATCTCTTGGTTTTTCATACTCAAACTATGGAGAGATTGTTAACTTATTGAATTCGGTTTTTTCCGAATGGTAAACTATGTGAATTAGACATTTCAATAATGCTAACTTGAAACAAATGGAATCTTGGCATTTGAAGTTAATATTTCTGTTAGCGTTCCACTATCCGAGCTCAATAATTTAAATGCGGATGGAAAGCTCCACAATGAGAAATAACAAGGTTTTGAACAGTAACTAAAAAGACGGTAGAATTTCTAAAACCACCATATTTTGATCAGTTAGTAGATACCGATCTAATTTATGACATGATTATGGGTCAACTAGACGGTCAACGGAAGTTCACAGGTATGGGTAAAACGGAGCTATGAACAAAACTAACTAAACACAATTTTTCTTATGGAATAACTCAACAAGAATTTCTCTTCTATTCTAATCAGATGATTACGATGGTCTTCAGGAAGATATTTACAGCTTTTCAACTGAACTGTACAACTTAAAGAACTGTACATCATCAAAATTGTTAGGTGATTCCAGATGATAAACGGAAAACTTCCCTTGACCCAGGTCCCATCCCTCAAGCAAGTGATGTCTGGAGTCTTGAGGAGACTCATCCTGCTAGTCAAAATGGAACATGGATCCTGAAGATTACATGTAGTCGAACGATAATGCATGTTGAATCTGTTATCCTGGTGACGACACTGCAAAAATGATCTCTTGAATTCGATTAGCACTAAAGACTAGACAAACACAACATTGATTGCTATTCAGTAATTCATCAACGTAGCCATCTAAAATATTATTTTATGCATTTCAATAGACTAACCTGCTTATATTATATAGTAATATTATCATCAATAATTACTGTGCCTAAATTACTTAAGTCAAAAGTAAGAATGATTGACTTCCGAATGCACCTTGCATAAACATTTAGGAATTTTCAGTCTGTTACAACTTTGTGTGTGGAAGATAGTTTAAAGTACAGATAGGCATTATATGAAGAGTATGCGTTGAAATTATTAAAATTGAAATGAAATATAGAAAGATCTCTAATATCTCATAGTCAATACAGTATATTTTGACCATTGAACTTGAATAATAACAGTATCTGTTTTTAAGACAGTGGGGAAGATTTGTAGCTCAGGGGGATGATTTTGATGGAGTTTCGTCCTCTGAGCTGGATGGTTTAGTCGTGGAGCTTTCATCGTTCTTCTGAACGACATCATCAATAAGAACCAATCAACATTGAGGTGTACAGAACAAGCTGTGAAACGCATATGGAGAAATTTGAACACTTCACTTCTATCTGAAGTTTGTGCTGATGATGATGTCGTTCAGAAGAACGATGAAAGCTCCACGACCAAACCATCCAGTTCAGAGAACAAAACTCCATCAAAAAGTATCTGTTTTTAGTTAATTCAGTTAATTCATAAAAGAGCGAAACGTTTATCTAATATATTCTGTAGTATTCATTTAATTCCCTTTATTTATGACTATATTTGTTATGAATCTTTTCTAGATCAACACAACTTATTTTGCACTGTTGGGATGATCCAGAAAAGTTCTCACAAAAGACACTCAACGATCAGGAAACCTTAAGAAGCATTTCATCCAATCAGCGTTCACTTGGAGTTTAACCAGAAAACATCAAGGATGTGAAGCGTCACATGTAGAGGTTCTGATTGGTTGATTGCTATACTGCTACTATGTTTAGTAGTATTCCAGAATCTTCGAGCAACTCAAGAACATTTAAAATATTATAAAAACCCTATGTTTTCTGTCACTAAAAAGAACCTTGGAGTAAAGTACTTTTCGCGTACTTTGCGCCTTCTCTCTCGTGTTCAGGTCGCTGTATAGTTCTAGCTTGGAGGTTTCAAGAATAGCTTAGGAATCGAGTATAGCGTTCTAATATGCAAGACTTATCAGCACTAAACTAGTTCATACATTTTAAATAATCTTAAATTAGAAAACGATAATAACAAACTTACCGTTCGATAGGCATAATTTAATTTCTTATCATCTCTCATAATTTCCGGAACTTTGAATAAAATTTTCATTTTGTTAATCTAAATCAAAGTAAACATTAATGAATTCAATTTTTGCATAGTGATTAAGTAGGACAGACAATTGCAAGGAATTTCTGACTTAATTTTATGTATAGTGATAATAAAAATGAAAATTACCTTTTACTTTCAGCATTTAATAAATCCTGTTGAAAATTTATTTCTCAACTATATTTACATTCATATTCTATTTATCTTATTACTTATTGTTGCGCAATTTATTCCTGTGACGACGGACCACGGGTGAACTCATGGAAGCTGTAAGAGGTTTAGAAGGAGACGAAGATATTCCATCCAATCACCTTTCGGAAGAATATTCTAGAATTCCTACGTGTAGCTTCCCTATTGGATAAGGCTAATAACCCCCTGTATGCGGATTGGAGGACTGTAATGATGATTTTTGTTCTTACTAAAAACTATAAATACCTGACTATTTGTACCATAATTGACACTGTTTGGAATAATATTTCTTTCACTAGTCTTCTCTCTTCTTGCGACTTGGAAGGGTTTTGGCGTTCTAGTGTTCAGTTATACGCGGTATATAAAATAACCAGCCTACTAGATATAAGAACTCCGTATGTCTGTAATCATATAATTTGATATTTACTACGAAAAATGGGGGGAAATTATGTATCACATGGAATCTACTGTAGTGAACACGAACACGATTGGGGGACAACCGAATGTATTTAAAAACAAATTACAGAACTAGTTAGTAAAATCTAGCAACCATATATTAAATGCTCAATTCGCAAAATATCCATCAATTGTCTCAAATGACACAGACTTCCTTTGTTCTTGCATTTTCATACAAATTGAAGTCTGTCTTCATTCTTTACTGTTCGATCTTCTTGTCTCTCTGCTTCCAGACATTCTGTTCATGGCCAACATCTTATACTACTTGTGTCTACATAAGTAGCACACACTATATCTACTTCAGAAAAAGTGTTTCCTGTAATTTTCCTTGCACAATATGTTATATCCACTGTATTATAAAAATGTATTCTTTTGATCTGAAATGATTTAGGTTTGAAACAGACTCATCTTATTCTTTTTGAGCATCTGCCTAAAATTAAACTTATCTTTATATCGTAAATAAATTTAAATGGGCAGTTTGTACTAGCCTTTTTTGATGTAAACAGATTAAAAGTTGGACAATGATATAACCATTATATGTAATATTTTTCAGCATTTTAGTTATTCAATACTTTTATAGGTTGAATCATGAACTAACCTTAACTAGGCTATTATTGGAAACCTAAAAACACTGAACGGCTGTTTCGTCCTAATGGGTCTCCTCATCGGTTTGCATCCATCACCCTGTGTCTGGAAATTAAACCAAGAACCTTCAGTCTCACACGTGAACGCTTACCCGCAATATTTGTGTGCCTGACTACTCAACAACTTTTATGCATGTACATGTTTTACGTATACATGACTGCTTGTGTGTCTGTTTGAATATTTCATTGTATTAAATTTATGAACGATGTTTTGTTCAGTTACCCTTTTCAAAACGTATGTTTTTGTGAGCAAATTATTAGTAGTTCTGTGGTGTGTGCCACTTATGTAGACATAAGTAGTATATGACGTTAGTCAAGAACAGAATGTCTGGCAGCAGACAGACAAGAAGATCGAACAGTAAAGAATGAAGACAGAATGCGATTTGTGTGAAAATACAAGAAGAAAGGAAGTCTGAGTGATTTTGAGACAGTTGATGAACAATTTGCAAATCGAGGATTTACTATATATGATTGTTAGATTTTCCTAACTAGTTCCGTATTTTGTTGTCAAATACATTCAATTGTCCTTGTTCACTACAGTTCTAGTAAAAACTTCTCTTTGTGAAATAATTAAACACTGAATGCTGTATGTTAACAATGACTTTTCCAATCGCTTAAATATTATTACGCTGTTAAGTGAATAGTTCATTAGAAAGGAACCCATTTCATATTCAGCTCTTCTTATTAGTTCATCTTAGATGATTGCCCAACATTTTCATTAATATATGAACCTTATACTTTTGTTATCAATGCTATTGACTGACACTTAATCTATATTAGGATATATGATAATACAACTGCGCTATTGTTTGATATACTTTCTGATGTAATAAGCCTAATATGACCATTGTTTTCAAACATGTGTGTGTGTGTGTGTCAATGAATCAATTCGTTATTCTTTCACAATGAATTATGAGAAACTATATTCATGTAAAAATTTCTCATTTCATTCTCCTTGTTTATGTTTTTTTTGTTTAAATCTAATTTGTTTTATCATCCAGAATGATTTTTTTTTCTCTTATTATAGTTATTAATAATACTTTGTTCTATTCTAATGAATTGCTTTCGATATCTGAACTTCACTTTACAGTTATAAAGTAATTATTCAATGACAAATATGTACGTTTACAATTCCTTTCTCTTGATGCACAAACTGAAGTAGTTTTTTTTAAATTTTTTAACCAAATGTTTTGATCATGATTTCTCGAGAAAAAAAATTATCTCATCCCCAATAAGAAATAAGTTTTGAACAAAATGGTAAACTCTTGAAGTTCAATAATAATCATGATCGATTGTCGTATATTTGATAACACCAAGGTATAGTTGACTAATGTGTATAAAAATAGAGATCCACTTATATTTTGATATATATATATATATATATATATATATATATATATATATATATATATATTAATTTTATGGATTATATTTCTGTTTGAGCCTAATTTAACAACTTTTGAAAACCGAGAAGCATTGGATAGCTATTTCATTTTTGTATAGGATACATCTGTAACCCTATTGAACGTTTCGGGGTTCGATTCTCGTTGAGGTTGTTTATGTGTACTACTCAGAAGTCCTATACTGGGACAGCATTTTTTTTACCTTTCTCAGGGGTTGTTTTACTGATATCAATTCATGGTGTAAATAATAAATTTTAATAATCTTCACAAAACTTCTGTAATTATTAACATAATTTAACTATTTTATTGTTTAAATCTTTTAATGACAATATGGTATATATTTATTTGATACTTCAAAAAAAACCCCCCTCATTTTATTAAATATAATGTGGGGTGGGTGGGTGGGTGAGTGGTTAACATCAAAACGAATAACTTGCTTACTCTTTCATTCACATCTATTCTAGTCTGTTCATCCATCCATTGAATTTGTTTTAAATGATTTTTTAAACTAGTTTTTAAATATGTTGTCATTTGTTTAACCTGAAAACAAATAAATAAATAAATAAAAAACACTTTTGTACATCGATGTGAGTTATACTATTCACTAAAACGTTATTAGATAACTTCATTCATTTGAAAATAATGACCATTGTTTATGGGTTATTAATAATATACCAAATGCCCTGGTATGGCCAAGAGTGGGGAGAGTCCTCTCTCCCTCTGGAAATGCTCTCACATGGCAACGCGTATATAGCCTATGCCAGGAAAGTCCTACTCACTGCATTCCCATGGCATTACTGTTGTTTACGAAAATCCAAGGACGAAAAGCGAATGTCCGGCGTTTTAAGCGGATCCCAAACCAACGGTACACATGGGCTGCAGTATCCTGAGAGAGCAAATGGTGTACGAAACAATCGTTGGTCACCATCTACCATGGGACTACATCTCTTTACGATGCTCCACTGCCTTGTGGATTCGACATTCAGGTCAAAGGTTCCGGGTGTGGCCCCCTAAGAAAACCACGTGGTTCGGTTCGGGCACCCGGGCAGTATCACAGCCCTCACACAAATCAAATGAGATTTGTGTAGCGTGTATGTATTTGGTGCTTCCTTGTACCAATATCTATGTGTTAAAATAAAAAGATAGTCATCTAAATACTACTGAAACATTAAGGGGGAAGGTAGATTATTTCAAATGGCATCAACCAGATTATTTAAATTAATTAAAAGAGTATTTATTTTTTAAATTTCTATTCTTAAAGAATTTTATTGTATTTTCACAAATAATTCTTGATAACGATAAGAAGCGAATAACATAACAGGTTAGTTTCTATTTGGCGATTCAATATATTGCAAGATATAAATATTCTAAATGTAGTTTCACCCAACGATTGTTCATTTTGTAAATATGGGGGTTCAGTTATTTCGCTTTATAGAAAAATATTGAATATTGAAGCAACTTAGAATTTTTCAGTAATCTGAATGAAGTATCAGAGTGATCTGTGAATTTATAAACATGAACAATTTCACTAAAATATGCTACCATTACTGTAGTGAACAGAACACACACGAATGTAATTAACAACAAATTACAGAACTAGTTAGTAAAATCTAACAATCATATATAGTAAATGCTCAATTTGCAAAATGTCCATCAATTGTCTCAAAATCACTCAGACTTCCTTCGTTCTTGCATTTTCATACAAATTGAAGTCTGTCTTCATTCTTTACTGTTCGATCTTCTTGTCTGTCTGCTGCCAGACATTCTGTTCTTGATTAACATCATATACTACTTATGTCTACATATATGTATCACACACCACATTACTAATACTACTAATAATGAATAGTGATTTCAATATGCTTAAATGAAAATATTATGTCTACCTCGTTTTCTGTTTCATTATGCATATGTTTTTCAGCATAAATTGCTCCTAATACAGTATCAAATAGTTCATGTGTTACAAAGAAACATTCTAGATCCATAACATGTTCAGTTTCATAATTGTATGATAAATGTAGCATGTAATATTCATAAGATAAATGCCATGTATACGTATCTAGAACATTCCAAAACATGTAGTTATTCATGATTCTGCAAGGTAAACAAAAATATTATGTAAAGTACTTTGAATAATTTGGTTATTATATTCTGATGTTAAATATGATGAATACATTTTACAAAAGTTTAGCAATAATATAACAAGTCAATTAAGGAAACCTGATTAGTTGACCATTATTTGTAAATTACTTTAAACGATGAATCAGTGTTAGGAGGTAGTAGACTACCTACAAGAGTTTTGTTTCCTTGGTGATCTCCACTTATTCTCAAGGAACACCTGAAGTCAAGAAGGGACCGAAGTACGAATCTACTGAGTAATTGACAACATGGTATAAATTACAATTAATTAGTTGGCCAATGTAAATTACTCACGTCTATAAGACGTCAGTCACTAGTTGAATGTCTTAATGGTAACTTCTGGAACTATTATACTGACTGAAAATGGTTTGAATAACATGAGTATGACTATTTTCATCAGTATAGGGGATTTGTGGAGATTATAGAACTTTTTTTAACATAAATCACGTGTTAATCTCATCTAGACCCTCGGTAAAAATCAAGAAGCATAGAACAGCTGTTCTTTCCAATATATGATTCTTCAAGAGTTTGTATCCACAAACCACCTATATTGATGAAAATAATCATACTCATATTATTCAAACCCTTGTCATTCAGTATCGTAGTTCCAGAAGTTACCATTAAGACAGTGAATCACTTACATTCTCAGAAGTTATATAGTAATAATCACAAACTCAGAATAACTTCAAACCAATCATCTCATAACAACAAACTTTTGGATTTTTAACTACAATCTTAAATGATTATTATTTACTACAGAAATTAAAACTTTTTAAATACCATAAGTATTACAGTTTGGTGTAATTTTGAAGGTGTAGCAAATAGACAACACTTTGGATTACTATCAGAAGGGGTTTTGTGGAGATTGTAGTAATTTCAATGGTTAAGATCATGAGTCAGTTGAAGCTAGAACAGCATGGAAAACCTGGAAGCACTGGAAGGCCGTTTCGTCCTATTATGAGACTCCACAGCAGTGTGCATCTACGACCTCGCCCCTCTCCGAGATTCGAACCCAGGACCTACTGGTTTCGCGAGCGAGCACTTAACCACTAGACCACTGAGCTTCAACTGACTCATGATCTTAATCATTGGAATTATTTTGGATTACATTCCAGTCATCTTTGAACACAGATGAAAATAACAAACAACGCAAATATGATTCAGAAAAGTTCATTGTTTCTTAATAAGATTAGTTATTTCTCCATTATATACACAGTCTCTCTTTTAAATTTAAAGAGAACAAGAATATAGATTTGAGCAGAATAAAACAAGAATTAATTTTATTTCATTGGGTTCATATCAGTTGCCTATGATCGATAATATTTAAAAATTATAATTACAAAATGATTTGAAATGAATTACATAAATGAGATGAATTGGAAGTTGCTCTGCGCAAATCATTATGGTACAGCAAGAATGTTAATTAATTTACGAGATTAAACAAAATAATGCAACCTCTGTCTTACGTAGAAGAATCTTTTACAGCAGTAATAGTAACAAAAGAATAAAGAGCTAGATTCAAATGGTTACGTAATGCACAGAAGCCGATAATAAAAATGAATAAGATTCAGTTAAAATAAAATTAACAGTAGGAAGAAAATAAAGTATTATGGTGTTGTGCTAGCTTTCTTATTGTTACATAATTACACAAATTAACCAAATTTTTGGACAGACTTAGGCAAATCAGACAATATCTAACTATTGAGTCGTTTTTGTCATCATAATGACTTCATTCTCTTTATTGGAAATTGTGATATTCAGTACATATATCTCATATATTAATGTCCTTACCAATTTACACTTACACTTCTAATGCATTCTTGGGTGTTGTACACCTATTATTTTATTCAATGCTTGTCCTTCTGTCGCTCTATGGATTATCTATTCTATTTCTTCGTCTATCTTTCAAGATGGGTATATGAAATATAAACATCCTAAACATTAGTATCCTACTTTTTTAAATCCAACTTGTTATCAATGGGTTCTATCGACAGAACATACGAATGATTAGGATCTATGTTTCATCTATATCATTAACAATCAGATCATACTGAAATTGGACAATGATGAGTATCGAACATATTATACATTGAATGAAAGATTTAAGTTTTGAACATAGATATTTTTTGTAAAGTTATACTATCCAAGGTTAACTGCGACAATTATTAGTGACATTATCAGTCGAATAAGATCAAATATCTAAAATGTATTTCATTAGTGTTAGTTTTCTGTATTTGTAATATAAAACTTAACAAACTATAAATTTTGAGATGACTATAAATAAACAAATTATTTATATGTTGTCAAGTTAGATAATATATAACCGTAAATGACAAATACGGTAGATAGTTACTATTATTGATTGTTTATTTGCACATATATTCACCGTATTTGAACTCAATCTGTTGATAAGGATATCATTTATGTAAACTTTGGATACTAACTCTTCAGTACAAAGTAAACGCTTTATGGTTTAGATTGATGTATTATTCAAAATGAAAAGGCTGATGAAATTTGGAGAAATATATTGTTTATTACTTGTAATATTAGTGAAAGAATACTGGTAAAGCATTTAAGTTACAGGGTAAAATATAGAAGTACGAAAAATGTACTTAACAGCCTTCTAAATCATTTCCACTATACCTCATCATTACAATCAAAACAAATATTATATAAGGAAATCTATTTCATTACAATGATTCCTATTGATGTTTGTCGTTTATGCTGAATGAAAACATATAGGCATTTAATGTTGATGTTAATAATTTATCTGAAATTTCTGTAAGAGGTGTCATCAAATAGTGAAGATAAACATATTTTTGGAAAATTGAAAATGAGAAATAAAAATATTTATATTCATGGATAAAATGAAACATAGACTGGTAACTACAATTGATTGATCACTGGGTGACCAATGTCATGCGTGTCTAGTCTCTCACTGTGAAGCTGGGTGACACGGGATCGGATCCGCCAGGGAGTACCAGTTCCCTCAAAGATTACAGGTACACCTTGCTGACGAGTGCCAAGAAGCACGAAACCTGGGTTCAGGGTTTCCTGTCGACTACATCCAACCACCATCTAATAGACTGGTAACTGTTAGCATGATTTATTGTTGAACTGTTGCTTACTAGAGTCAAGAGCTTAAGCTCATCGATCCACAACATTCATCATACAAACAATTATTTCACTTGGATGATTCAGTTTGTAGCTGTAGAATTCATAAGGTAGATATGACTTATGATCATGTTTTATAGGATGTGTATTTGTGCAATAATTATATAATATTGACAGAAATAAGATAGAAAATTTGTAGCTTCGATGGTTGTTTATTGTACATCAAATTTTAAACAACCTCGTGATTTTCCAATCAGTTTTGCTAACCGCGTATTGTCGTAAATGATCTTGATGTGACCATTAAAATAACTGGCTCATAATCGAGGTGAGGTACGTTTAATTGATAGGTCAGAATCAATACTTGAGGTAAAACTCACGACAATTTCTCGAAAACGATACAACGCAAAATCATGAGCAGACTTTATGTAATAATGTTGAGAATGAGCCCAATGATTGTTGCAAAATTAAATATACTACTTAATTATTGTTATAGTAGTGAATTTGAATAAAACAAAATATGTGCGGTTTTCTGGTTGATCGCAGGTAATTAGCTACCACTTTAATTAAAATACACATAAATAATTTGTAAAAGGTTGTTGGTAGCTTCAAATACCTTAGGGTACATGTTGCTCACTGTTCGAGAACACACAGCCACATACGTTGTGGAAGGAATAAACTTTGGAAAAATGTTTATAAATTTACAGAAATATGTTTTCCAACGACAGATAATTTCGCCTCTTTTAGCCATATCCAGAACCACTAGTATGGGGGTAGAGACTATGAAATGTTACTGAGATCGCTAACCAATCTAAGTCAGATAACCACTGAAAATGTGAAAGCAGTGGACTGAACATTCAACAGTCTTTACAAATTCTTAAACCGATAGTTCTCATATGCCCACCAAAGATTAACTTTGGGGGTAAATCTCCAGAATTCTACCGAGAAGCCCTGACCGGTGGAATTCGACGATATTGGCCTTTAGTAACGTACTCACCAAAGATAATGGAAAATGGCTGTCTTATGTCGCGAACTGGTTGAGGTTAAGTAAATACACTTCTGGGTTCTTCCTCAGTGACCTTAAGGTCCTGACCTTAGGGTCCCACTATTGAAAAATCCCATATTAGGACTGAAACAGCTGTCCATCAATTAGTACAATACAGTGATCATTTAACTAAGGTCATTCATAGATGTATATTTTCAATTACATACATTTATACTGAACTGTTTTACCGAATTATTTATTAAGGTAGATCATTATTCTGTCAACTAATTTATTGTACTATACAGCACAGGGCGGGGGCGTAAATGGCAACCAGCTTATCCTAAAACTGTTGAAAATACAGTTATTTTGCCTATACAGTACATTGAAACATTTACTTTTATTAGCGTTTTAAAACACTTATTTATTACCATTTAACTCATCTTTTGTTTAACTCAATACGTTTTGGTAACTGAATAAACTACAATACTGATTATTTAAAATCCTTTTTATTCTAACTGATCTTTATCTAAATAATTTGACTAATCAGGACAGTTTATGAACATTGATTCAATAAAAGGGAATGTATAAACTGTTGGGTTTCAAGTTAATCATTTCAAACTACTGTGTTTTCAGAGAGTTGAAAATTTTGACCGTCAATATACGGAAAGAATAGTCTGAAACTTAAAATTAGTTTAAAATCTTCCCCAATTTTCAAAGGTTTTGAAATGACTATCAATGCGTAAACTGTATTTTCAATGGTTAAGATCATGAGTCAGTTGAAGACTCCGTAGACGCCCAACTTCGAGACCAACAGGATAGATCTTATACAGACCGAACCGCAACTCTACGGATCATTGTGGAACAATCAATTGAATGGAATTCATCACTCTATATCAACTTCATTGACTACGAAAAAGGATTTGATAGCGTGTACAGAACAACCCTATGGAAGCTTCTTCGACACTACGGTATGACTCAGAAGATGGTAAATATCATACGGAATTCCTATGATGGATATCTAGGATGCAGCTGGATGATCTAGACTTCGCAGATGATCTGACTCTTCTATCGCACACGCAATAACAAATGCAGAAGACAACCAGTGTAGCAGCAGCCTCAGCAGCAATAGGTTTCAATAACACAAAGGGAAAAGCAAGATTCTCCGATACAACACAGCATGCACCAATCCAATTACCGAAGAACAAATTACGCCGAGAGATAGAGACAGATATGAGAAGAATGAACAAGCATTGGATGGAACTAGTAAACAAGGCCCAGGACAGAATGGATTGGAGAATGCTGGTCGGCGGCCTATCGCATTGTGAAATTTTGATAAGATTTGTAGATGGAGAATTATATGAGTATCTCAGAAATATTTGTGATTGATACTAATTTATGTATTTTTTTTTCAAATTTCATTTATCAATATACAATCTTGTTATCTAGTTGCTAATGATATGAGTCTTATAAGACTAATAATCTGAACAATTTTTGATTAAGATCATGGACCGATTGATGTTAGATAACCATTGAAAACCTGAAAGCACTGGACGTCCGTTTCGTCCTATTGTGGGACTCGTCAACAATGCGCATCCACGATTCTGCTCTTTCGCGGGATTCCAACCCAGGGCCTTCACTTAACGTACTGGACCACTGAGCCGGCCCGCATCCAACGGTGTTAATGTCTAACCTCAACCAATCCACGAAATTGCACGACCATCTTCCATTTTACTGAGGTAGACATCTGTTTCTACCCAATACGGATTAGCTTCACTGGTCACGGCTCCTCACTAGAACTCCGAGAATTCTCTCACAAAGCTAGTCACTAGTGAGCACATTGTAATTATCAGTTTAGGGGTTGTGGAGATTGTCAAGTTTTGATTGAAATCATGAATTGATTGATGTTAGACCACCATTAATAACCTGGAAGCACTGGACAATTATTTACATAACACAGCATCTGTTATATGAAATCAATATAGTGCTTTTACACAACTGAAATATATTAATCGGTTCAATGTGAAATACACAGAATAGAGTCTCATGAGTTGAATATAATAATTTAATTAACTTTTTAATCAGATGGTTATCATGTTGTTTTTAATCTATAAAGTAATCACAGATATTTAGTTAACTAAAAGTGTGATGACAATTGGTGTTACATTTGGATGTTATTTATTAACACATTTGTTTACAAATATAAATAAACTATTTATGAGACTAAAATGAGTAAATAAAGAGTGATGTTTTCACAGTAAGTGTTCAGACTTGACAATAGTTGACGTATTTGTTGAAATGATGTTATCTAGTAATCTGTTTACATACGTGGTAGGTTTGTCTTTGAAGTCACAAAAGAGGGAAAGATGAAAACATGGATTATTATTCTTTATTTTATTGAATAGTTTACAAAATTCTATGCTGTTACCGTAATCAAAGTGACCTATTTTTTTTTTCTTTGTTTTCTACACGGTAATAAGTGCTTCTAAATCATTCCGTATACCTTAATAAACAAGAAACTAAACCAGAAATCATTGTTAAGTGACTATCTGCTAAGATGCTTATCATTAAAAGATTTTGATGTTTTGCTAAAAATAACGATATATGCGGAAACATTGAAACTTCGTAAGTATGAAATTACTATGCATGATTGTATTATATGTGTCCTCTTTATTTTACCAGGGATCTCACATAATATGGAAGGTAATTGTAGCCTATAAATGTGTATGGTAATACAAACAAAGCTCACTTTTAATATAAATTTTAGCCACTGTATGCAATATATATAGGGAATAATTGATAAAAAGTGTAATCATAAAAATAGTTGTACCTTCGACTGACATGGCAAACCATCATGAACCCTATCTCGAAGTTGACTTCTAAACAATGAATATTGTCTAAGAACATATAGTTAGAGCTGAAGTAAATTCCGTTATTTTTATTTAATTGTGTTTCTCTTATATGATTGTAAATAAGATAAAATTTTATAGTTTTTCAAGGAGAGATTACTTATAGCCTGAGAGGAGGATGATGGCTAGATAATATTCTTTTATTGTATTATCCAACTTAGAAAATGTAAAACCACCAAATAAAGCATGGTGTTGGGGGACGATAGATCTCCCAAAAACCCATAGTTTGTAATTTTATCTTGTGGAGCTTGTATACAGATGTATACGTGGGCATTTCTTACCACCCACGCACATAGATAATTGACGAATTTATCAATTAAATGTTTAAATATTTCAATCGCATTCAACTATCGATTAAATGTTTAAAAGCTCCATGGCAATATCAATATATATATATATATATATATATATATATATATATATATATATATATATATATATATATATATATATATATATACGTTTTAAATTGTCTTGTAAAAAGGTTGCTGGTTTTCTGGTTGTTGAAGAACATACTTCCATTCTAAGCTCGGTCTTCTCTCTCTAGATAGCGGAACTGGGACGCGTCAATAGTTAGCTTACTGGTCGTTGGTCACCGAATCTCATTCTCGTTCGTAGATTTAAGTGAACTAGTGATAGCTTCAACCCTAACACATGGAAATTTGGCTAGTTTTTCACTAGAAAAATATGAAACTAAGTGACTTTTCTTACATAATGCTTTTCTATATTACTTTATTAACAATGACCTAAGATAATATTTATTTATGACAGTGTACTGATTAAAACAAACTCAACATTGTTAAGTTTATCAGTCAATCATAATCATTACGTACATAGGTTAAATAGATGGAAATTTTTATCCCTATATTCGTCTATAAGTCACCTACTAATAAATATATTATATTTGATGTTAGTAACATTTCCTTTAGCCATAACCTTTTTATTTACTAATATATATATATATATATATATATATATATATATATATATATATATATATATATATATATATATATATATATATATAAAGTGTAAAATATTCCATTTACATTTCCATTAATACATTTCTTAGTAAACTATTTGTATTTCCATATTCTTTATCCCCTTTGCTATTGTTTGTTTACTTCTTTCTATGTTGATTTTTAGGGTTTTGTTATACGGTAAATACCAACAACAACAAAAAAACTACTACGGTGTATATATACTTAAATTCTAAATTCACTTTACTTTTCCATCAAATTGATTATGTTAACTAATGGAATGACTACTACTGAATTTACCCTGAAAGGAATGCAAAAGATACCGAAAAATAATCATGATTTTTGTTGTTGTTGTTGTGGTTGCCACATTTAATAGGTTAATATATCCATGAAATTATATCTTATAAATACATTCTAAATATCATACATATTTTATATTGGAACAAATTCAGAAACTAAGATATTATATTAGAAGAAGAAATATAAATGGTTACATCAATTGATGATGTTTTAAATCAATATAAAGATCAATGAAAAGTATTCAGTAACATTTTAGAATTAATATCAATAAGTACTTTTGATAAAAATGTTTCTCCTTATGTTATAATTCTCTGTCTTACGCGTTATAACCTAGCTATTCCTATTGCTTAGTTTGTCTCGGACACCACTTCGCTCGACAACTGCACAAATTACAGAACCCAGTTGAACAGGAAAGAGATTATATTCACAATAACATGGTTAGATGGAAGTAAACAAAAGCAAAATAGGAAAAACGTTAGTATATTTATAGTTTTTTTTTACATGAGAATATTTCTAGAGTATTCTCCAAGTATCGACTAGCGCTGATTGGATAAGAATTAGCCAATCAGCATGCACCAAAGCAATCATGCATTGAGCATACTTTAATCCAATCTATGTCCCACTAACGCCTTACGGGTTTTAAAATGTTTCATCTAACTACCATACATCTACTGTTGATTGAATTTAAGGCAAAGAATAATCACTTTGATATTTAGTATGGTAATCTCATGAAGAGAAATATGCTAAAAGCAATTATTTTCTAATATTTCGAATTATATTAATGAATGTTATACAGATGATTGAAAAAAAAATGAAACCCTTTATTTAAAAAAAGGCAAGTTCAACACGTGCTCCTGTCTTGACCGGTTAAAGATTCAATGAATCAATCAATGATCATTTTTATTGTGACTGTTTGAGTGTGGAACAAAAACTGAATTGTTTTATTTTGTTGGTCTGAATACATTGTCACTGTTTCGTTGGATAAAACCGATTTTTGTTTATTGGATGCGTTCAGTCTTACAAAATTAAGTAAACTCGTATGTGTTCTAACAAGAAAAACTAGTTTCTTTTAATAAAAATTCTTTACTAAATATGTATGAGAAGTACCTAATTGTAGTATGCCCAAGATGCTCAATGTCTGTTGACCTGATACCATCAACAACAACAACCTACTGTGGAAGAGAACAAACCAACTTCCAGTTAGAGAGGAAATTGGGTAAAGACGTTGGAGGTAGATAGGATATACATCAAAGTTCATTATTACACGAGCCCTTACTCGGAATTCTCAAGACGAGAAGAAAAGAGCCCGACGAAAAAATAGACTGTCTGGGAATTGGAGGCATGTATCAAAGGAATGAACAGCTCTTTAGAACAACTGAAAAGGAGATCCCATGGTAGATCAGTAGCCTATTCTTTACTAGATATAACAGCTATTAGTAAGTAAGTAAGAAGATTGTTCACAAGATGATCATTATAATTACAAATATCTACTTACCGATCAGCTACAGATTTTGTGAAATTTCTTTCCAATGTACTAATAAGTATTGGAAATTTTTGTAAATAATTTAAATATCGGGTATAAATTGAATAATCCGAATCAAAAACCACATAAGTCTCATCAAAATAAGCACCTAATAAGCCTGACCAATCGTAAGCATTTCCATTGATATTTAAATCACCAAGTTTAGATTTTTGAGACCACTTTGACGGAGTTGTACTTCGATAAATCTAAGAGTAAAAAAAAACCAACAGAATTTAAGGAAAAATAACGGAATATATTGTCCAATTTACTCAATGACGGAAATAATCTTCTGTAGGCTTTCAAAATCATTTACTAACTAATGTATAAGTACTTAGATCTAGGAGCTAGCAATTCGATAACATAGGTAGTTTGATAGTAAATATCTTCGTTTCCCTTCTAAACGTATTACCAAAGCAAACTCAGAGTAGATGTGAAGCATCGGAACTTTTGCCATCCATTATAATCTCATCAAACAATATTATGCTAAGATTAGTATTCTGTGAAATACTTTGATAAGTAAGGTGAATAAAATTTTGAATTTTTGTGTATTGGTTCTTTGTTCACGATCAATGTTTTCAATTGATGAATATGATAGATATATATATATATTATAACATGCTTGTTGATTTTATTTCCCTCGGAAGAACTTTTTCTAGATTGTCTAGAAACTAGTCTAGTGGTACTTATTGTTCAATGAATGAAATGAACTATTCTTTTAGTTAGTTGTTAGTTTGAAAAAAAGCAAAGACAAATATGTGAACAACATTTTGTTAGAACGTAGCAGATGTTTGATTATATATATATATATATATATATATATATATATATATATATATATATATATATATATATATATTTGTTTTCATGGTGTCTTAATGCAAACAGATTATTCTGTTACATTTCAAAGTGTATCAAATTCAATTATTTTATGTTGAAATTTTAGATACTTGACTTGTGTTGTATGTAATAAAGTAAATTATTTGATTCCAAAAAAATGTATTTTACATTGTGCATAACGAAAAGCCATAGTATTTCTCTTATAATCAAATTAGAGTTAGATATTAGTAAAATTTCTGTTGTTTTGTCTATTGTAGGGCTTCTTATACTTTTCATTGTCTAATTTAACCCATTCTTCTAGAGATCTATTTGAGATTTTTTCAATTTTCATACTTTAAACGGTATTAGATTTTTCTGTTTTGCTTCTTGTATTGTCAAGTGTTTTTCTCAGTATGGTGATGTAGAATACGCCAACTTGTGTGATACTTATTCGTCCCAAGTCATCCATCGCCTATATGAACCTGAATGATATTCGTCATGGATGTAGAACTTACTGACTTACTTACACCGGTTACTACTCATGCAAGAGCACAGGCAACCCACTAGCATTCTCTATCCAATTCTGTCCTGAGCAATCCTTTCCAGTTGTTTCCAAATTCTATTCATTCTTTTGATATATGCTTTCGATTCCCGATAAGGTGTGTTCTTTAATCTTCCTCTCTTTCGTTTCCCTTCAGGATTCCAAGTTAGCACTTGCTTCGTGATGCAGTTTAATTATTTCCTCAATGTATGTCTTATCCACCCCAGCATCTTTTCCCGATTTCCTCTTCAACTAGAAGCTCGTTTGTTCTCTCCCACAGTAGACTGTTGTTGATGGTATCCGGTCAACGGAAATTGGGTATCTTTCGTAGACAATTGTTTAGAAATATCTGTACATTTTCGATTATGGTTGTGATAGTTCTCCAAGTTTCATCTAAATCCAATAGAATTAACTGTCATGAAGTTCGTATTGAAGATTCTGACTGTAGTATTGATTTATAGTTGTTTTGAGATCCATATATTCTTCAACTGTAGGAATGTGGCCATCGCTTTGTCAATCCTCGCCTTCACATTTGCATCAGATTCTCCATGTTCATCAAAGATACTGTTGGGGAACGTGAATGCTTCCATCTCTTTCAGAATTTATCCATCAAATGTTTTCTCTATGTTGTATTTGAGGATCTTGCCTTTTTCCTTCTATATGTTGAGGCCCACTGCTGCAGAGTTTTCTGCTACACTGGTTGTTTTGACCTGAATTTCTTGATGTGTGTGGGATAGAACGGCCTGGTCATCTGTGAATTCCAAATCTTCCAATTGTTTCCGAGATGTGTATTGTATTCTGTGCTTTCTCTCAGATGTTGAGGTCTTCATAATCCAGTCGACCACCAGACGAGGAAGGAAGAGAGTAAGCGACTCTTCTGACTCCGGTCCTCACTTGCAATTCATCTGTGAGATAATCTCCATGCACCACTTCGCACTGTTATCCGTCGTATGAATTCCGGATGATTTTGATTATCTTCCCATGTATGTGATAGTGTCGAATAAGGCTGCATAAAGTCCTCACTATCCGCACTGTCGAATGCTTCTCATAGTCAAGGAAGTTGATGTGTAGTGATGAGTTCCATTCAATTGATTGTTCAACAATGATTCGTAATGTCGTGATTTGGTCTGTACACGATTGATCTTTACGGACTCAGGTCTGTTGTTCTGGAGGTTGGGCGTCCATTGGGTCTTTCATCCGGTTCAGAAACACTCTGTTGAAAACCTTTCCAGATACTGACATTAGTGTGATGCTTCTGGCTTCTGTAGTTCTCACATTTGCTCAGATCTCCTTTGTTTGGTATGTTGATGAGGTGTGTTTCTTACCGTTTCATCGACATATGTTTTTCCTCCTAAATCTTCTTGAATAGAACGTGGAGCATGTTTTCAGTTGCTTCTGAGTCTGATTTGAATGCTTCAGTTGGTATGCTGTCAGTTCGTTTTTCACTCTTGATTTGTCTGATGACCATCCTGATTTCTTCCGTCGTTGGTGGAGTTGTATTCATGGGAAGTTGATTCGATCGATATGGCCTATTCAAGAGTTCTTCGAACTGTTCCACCCATCTGTTGCTCTGTTCTTGAATGTCATTGATTTCTTGCCTTTCTTTTTCCTTGACAGGTGCATTCCTGAGCATTTCCCTATGATTGTTTGTAACCACGAGTAGAACTGATCCTGACTATCGTCAATGCTATCATTGGTGGGTGCATTACATTGCATAAAACTCATTGTAATTGCCTCTTGTTTTTATTTTGAGTGGTGCTTTGATGATCCTGGATCCATGAAATTCCCATCCTATAAGTACATTTCGTGCTTCATTGGACAGTATCAGAGAAACTCCTTGAGTCTGTGGAGCATTTTCCTCTTTGTGACCAGTGTGAAGCATCATCTTTGCCGTACCTAACGCTTTCTGTCCAGCATGGGTTGAATGAGTTTTGCTGATTACGAGTGCTGCCAAGCTTTATCTCCTCATTTTGTTAGCTATTTGACTAGTTCTTCCGGTCTCCCACATTGTCTGGACGTCCCATTTACTGATAAAAAATCATTGCTCTCTTTGTTGAAAGGGGCGTCAGCCTCATGACTCATAAAGAATCTCGACTTTTATCCTGAGGCATTATAATTATCTCTTCAATTTGGAGGACAAAGTTTAAATAATTTAATTTGTTTATTCTGGTGGGCGATTTTTTCTAGCAAGATTTTATTCAACAGGATGCAATTATCGAACCCATACACACCTCTCCTCCTTTACCCGAACTTGGGACCGGTTATAGTCCTAGAAGAGCTATACAGGCAGAATTTCAATATTAGCTCATGATAAATCTATCATAAAATTGGTTGTATAAAAAATAATCATAATTTAACTATGTATCATTCTATGAAAATATTATATATATATATATATATATATATATATATATATATATATATATATATATATATATATATATAAGTTATTCTTAAATTACTTCATTCAATTAGATGTAATTTTGTAGATTAGATCATATTTGGACAGGTATCATGTAACTTGTCATTATTTAGAACGAAAAAAAGAACGATCAGAGATCATAAATTCAGACGAACAATTTTCCTTATCGATGTATATATACACCTACATTCTTAGTTGAATATCGTTTGTTTGTTTGTTTGTTTGTTTTTTAATCTTTTCAAATACACATAATTTTAGTGGATTGTTTAGAGTTTATTATGTAGTTTGTGATGTAATACTATGAAAATCCATTTGATAACTAACACTCACAGGTATATATCTAAAAGAATTAATGAGTGCGTACGAAAGGAATATGTAAGTTAATAAGGCTAGATTATCCGACAGTTTCACATGCAAATATATTATGAGCCTAGATAATTTAGTAACTCCGCCTAAAGTCCCTCCGGAGGCTACTGCCGATCCCAAGCCTGGATAAAGGGGAAGAGTTGAGCATGGGGTTAGCGACCCCATCCCATAGAAGACTAACTCGCTGAAAAAAAGCTAACCAGAAAAAATTATTCAAACCATTTAAACTCAGAGTCAGAAGGTCTTCCTTTAGAAGAGTTATGACGCCTCATGATGAAAGCCGAGTTTCTTCGGAAGTCACGAGGCCGATGCCCCTTCTGACAATCAGAGCTACCATTTATTTAGGTACATGAAATGCTCGTACAATGTGGGAGACTGTTAGAGTTTTCCAAATTGCTGCAGAAATGAGGAGATACAACCTAGAGGTGCTTGGGATCGGCGAAACACATTTGAAGCAAGTTGGACAACAACGACTAGCTTCAGGGGAGCTTCTGTTATACTCTGGCCATGATGAAGAAAATGCCCCACATACACAAGGAGTTGCATTGATGCTGTCCAAACAAGCACAAAATGCACTTATAGGATGGGAATCTCATGGACCGAGGATCATCAAAGCCTCCTTCAAAACAAAGAAAGAGGGCATTACAATGAACGTCATCCAATGCTACGCGCTAACCAACGGCTACAATGAAGGCGCTAAAGATCAATTCTACGATAGGCTGCAGTCAATCGTCGAGAAGTGCCCAACAAAAGACCTGACCATTCTGATGAGAGATTTAAATGCTAAGGTTGGAATTGACAACACCGGATATGAAGAGATCATGGGACGACACGGACTGGGAGAAAGGAACGAAAATGGTGAGAGATTTGCAAATCTATGTGCCTTTAATAAACTGGTCATAGGCGGCACTATATACCCACATAAACGCATCCACAAAACCACATGGACTTTACCAGATCACCAGACCAAAGAACACATTATGCCTGGAAATGGAGATAGATATGAGAAAAATGAACAAGAACTGGATGAAACTAGAAAGGAAGACCAAGGACAGAGTGGGTTGGAGAATGCTGGTCGGTGGCCTATGCTCCATTAGGAGTATCAAACGTAAGTAAGTAAGTAAGTAAGTAGATAATTTAGTAGATCCATTTACACTTTGAGTAATAACTACATAAAAGGAACAATAAATTAATTATTTCAATTAAAAAAAGAAGTGACTCGTTGTTAACCATGACTTTCACTTTCAATGGTTTACTTTTACATTCTATTCTGTTTTCATTACATTTTCTGATCTATAATTATTCTAAAGATTCTTCATATTCCTTATCATTTTTAATTTAATTGTATTAGGGTTCACATCGTTCAACTTTGTCAAGTTTCAATTTCCACTTTATTTTTATTGTCGGAATTGGGGTTATTATTACTTAACATTATGGAAAATAATTTTTGTTGTTGAGGTTTTATCGATTTAGCCATACATATACTGATGTTTTCCTAAAACATTTATACTACACTGAACGATTATTATTATTATTATTATTATTATTATTATTATTATTATTATTAGTGGCTTTATTCAATATTATAGTTTTTGATACGATATAGAATTCTCATCAGAAAGCTTTTTCAACAAGTTTCCCTTTTTTATTTCTTGATCAGTTCCTTGCCATCAATATTGAGTGGTCGCCAGTTAGATGTTAGCGGTTCAGGAATCGACATCTGATAAAGGTATATCGTTTTCGATGCATATTGCCAGTAACCATGATGTTTCTGATTGAGCTCTTTTGTAACTGAATAATAGGTTATAAGACTAATAGGCATAATGATGTGTTAAAACAAACAAACAAGAAAACAGATAACATGTTGAAATATCCAGATGGCAGGAACAGGTAGCCCAGATATTCAAGCAGGTCGCCTAGTACAATATCACTAAATGACTCTTGTTAGAAATGTAAACCACTAGATGTAAGGTCTTAAGGTTAACTATTCACTTAGGTTCAATATCTGCCAAGGGTGTGAATACATACTTTTGAACATTCCTATAGTAAATTGAAACAGCTATCGATTGTTTTTTGGTCTATGATGTTAAATTAAGGAAGTAATTCCATTCCATACAGTTTATTGTTATTGAGTTTTTGAAAATTGTTAGGAACGGGGCTAATTGTATCTTATATTAAAAAAAAATATGAAAATTTCAATATAAAAAAAAATACCTTTACAAAATTAGAAATAAATTATTGACTAACATGTAACATACCTTTTGTAACTCTCTAGTTATTAGTTTTAAATCTTCTGTAAATATTCTTATTCGTTCTTTGTACTCTTCATTTCCATAAGGGATACCAGCGTCTCTAGCTAATACTTCTAGTACACCACTCACATATGTTTTGATCTTGAATAAACAATATATAAAATATATATATGTAAAGTATATTTAACAATACTATACTATTAAAATTGAGTATAAACGTCATTACCTGTGAAATGTAATGAATTCACTGTGATTTTATGATTTTCTCTTTAGTTAAAAACAAAGCAATACTTTATTCAAAGTATTAGCATAGTTTATATTATTAAGTGAACTGTCAATGAAAAAAACCAGTAATCTCTATGATAGATAAAATTGTAATGAACTAAAGCTTTAATGACTTTTCTATAGATCATCACAGAGATATTGTGGTACGCGCTACTTATATTGATGTAAGTAGAATATGAAGCGAGTTAAAAACATAATGTCGGGCAGCAGAAGATGGGAGAAGATCAAGAAAGCAGGAGAGGGGGAACACAATGCAGTTTGTATGAAAACGCATGAACAATGAAATGTCAGACAATCGATTGATGTCTGCAACAGTAACAGGCCAGTTTGTTATGATGGATTAATATTTTGCAAATTAACGATTTACTATATGGTTTTTTTATTTTATCAATTAACTCTGTAACCTAAAAATACTGGACGGCCGTTTCGTCCTAGTATGGGACTCCACAGCAGTGCGCATCCACGATCCCGCTCTTTCGCGGGATTCCAACCCAGATCATCCCCTCTTGCGCGCTAACGCTTAACCTACTGGACCAGTGAGCCGGCCCGCATTCAATGGTTTTAGTGTCTAACGTCAACCAATCCACGAAATCGCGTGACCATCTTCCATTATACTGAGGTAGATACCTATCTCTACCCAATACGGATTAGCTCCACTGGTCATGGCTTGTCACTAGAACTCCGAGAATTCCCTCACGAAGCTAGTTACTAGTGAGCACATGTCCCCATTGGTGTTCTTGTTCACTACAATATTTCTAGAATATTAACAAATAATAATCTTATAACAAGAATAAGAAAAAGATTTATGATCAATTTGGAAAGATAATTTAGAAAGCAAACATTTATTTTGACAAGAATATAAATTGGATTCATTTCAATTACCTTGGTAATTAAATGATAGCTCTTTTTGAATACAGAGTTAAGTGTGTGAATTCTGCTTTGTAGATTTTCATTAGGCAAGATTATATTGTTTACTAATGATTTAAGTGTATTTAAACAGTTTTACTTGTTCATCAGGTAGTGTTCCATGAAACTGTACAAAGTGTATTGTCCCTTAAAGTCAATATTTATTAATACATTTTTAGTATGTTGCTATCCATCTATCTACTTTACTATTGATGAAAGATCTTGACTTATATCACTCTTTTCTTATTTATTTGTCTCTAGGGTATAGTTGTTTCTATAATATTTATTCTCATTTTTTCTGTTAATCATCAATAAGTCATTTTAGAATGAATGTGGATTAGTTTACCTCAAATTTGTTTGATCTTTTCAATAAAGAAAATCTATAAAACACCATTAGAACATAGGCTCAAATAACCTCTTTTATCCAAATAGAAAATTTACTATTCTATCTATTTCATTTGTCTGTAAAAACTGACAATAAAATATACTAAATTCAGTGATTATAATTAATTATGAGTAGTTTAGTATTGTGTAATTTTTTTTTTAAACAGCGTCATAGATACATAAAAATATATAATAATAATAACTAGATACTCTAATCACTATAAACTATCAGGGTTCACACTAAAACTGTACCATTAACTTTTATGGAAGGGGGGCGGAGCTTTATGTATATAGGCTATAGATGGATAGTTTATCCTTATAATATAGATTTGACTTGATCGATATTGATTGGTAATAACAAACATTTTTTTTTGTATTAAACATTCAATATTATTTGAAGATATTTTTTTTTCTTTTTTGCAAAATAAAACGGAAGTTACTTCAATGGTTAACATACTTTTTCTTTTGAATTTCTGTATCTTTACTAGTTTTTATGAAAAAAAAAACATTTTATGAAACAAAAATAGAAAGAAAGAAAGAAATCGTTTTCAAATTTTGATTATTTGGATAGATCAGTCATCTGTTCTGTTACAGGCTTTAAAATGAAAAACTTTTTTTGAACCTTGTATTGGATTGGTTGAAGTTAGACATTAACATCGTTGGATACCGGCCAGCACAGTGGTCTAGTTGGTTAAGTGCCTGGCGCGAGACTGATAGGTCCTAGGTTCGAATCTCGCTGAGGTGGGAGCGGGATCGTGGATGCTCACTGCCACTGAGGAGTCCCATACTAGGATGAAACGGCCGTCTAGTGCTTCCAGGTTTTCCATGGTGGTGGTCTAGCTTCAACTGATTCATGATTTCAATCAGTGAAATTTCTAAAGTCTCCACACAATCCCTTCTATAAATAGTATGAAATACCGTACACCAGTAAATGATGCTACAAGAAGTAGTTAGTTTTCAATGAGGTTTGTAGTGTAAAGTAGTAAATGATTTTGGTTTTGCTTCATTTAAAGATATTATTGAATATCCACATTGATTATATCTTTATTGTTTTACTAGGAAGTGATTGATAGTGGAATATTGAATTTCTGCTTTTTAAATCGATTCTTGTTAATTGCACTTATTTATGCCATGGTAAGTTTTAATGTTAACTCTCTCATACACAGCATTAATGTGTTATATATATATTGTAATATTGATTTACGCCCATTACATGGATAAAAATATAGAAGAATATCAGCATTCATTAGAATATGAGAATGTCTATTTAACAAGTCATATATAGACAAAAGATACTTAATCTATTTCACCGTTGACAATCTTAAGTAAGAACATGCAGGACAGTTGTAAGTTTATCTGTAGTAATGTGTTGTTGTTTGTCTCAAATAAAGTATTACAAAGAATCAAGATCAATGATGTAATGTATTACCCTGGTTACTTTGTGAATGACTAGTTATTTGAAACAATTCTCTTAATAATTAGTTCTAATAGCTAAAACATTAACATATTTATCAGACGAGGATATTGTGAAGATTTTAATAAATGAATAGTTTAATAGGATTAAACTAAATCAATGCTTTTTATTCTTCTGATTTAAAGCTACTAAAAATGAGCTGTCAATATTGCTACAGTGTCACATTAGTACAAGATAAAAATGATCATATTTCTGTGTGTGTGTGTGTGCGTATATTCGTTTTTGAGCTCGAACTAAAGCTTTTTTAAGGTCGGAAGTTGTAATTAGTACAACAAATCATTTAAAATAAGTTGTAGGTTGTTTTTCAGTGATCGGTTTATGAAGTCAATGTGACCGGATTGGTTATAAACTGATTGCTAATAAGAATATATATATGTATTAACCGTATTAAAATAACTCAATGTTCATTTCTAAATGTATGAGACAACATTCTCCGAATTTGTTGTTACAGTTTCTGTTTTGTTTATAGGACAAAATTCTATACTTTATGATTAGTATTTTAGGAAATGACGTCAAACTGGAAATGTTACACTTAATTTCATTGATTATTCTTTATTGATTTGATGAGAAACGATTGTAAAGTTTAGATCGAAGAATTTTTTTTTGTTATGAGTCTTTAATTTGCATACTTATTAGTAACCCTGCTAATCGGAATTTCTTTTTAAGACAATAAAATCTATCCGACTAGCTTTTAGAAGCGGTTAGATTTCCTAAGGAATGCTTATAAATTCCTCGTAAAAAATGTTCTCCTCAAATTTCGATGTACATTGCCAACATTCATACCCTGAAAATATGCTTACTTTGTAAATTTAGAAGGGGCTTAACTATGAAGATAAAAGTAGTAAGGTCAGTAACGGAAGGTTATATCCAGAATAGACGTAGTTATCTAAATACTATGAGCTTGTAAGTATTTAAATACAGTGTACACCATACTTGAGATCATTTAATCAAATGTCGATTATTCACAGTCAGCTAAAAATCTTTCTATTGACTGAAAAATAGTACAGAATTACAGCTAAAGTAATAAAAAGATGATAATAAACAAAATTTTGTAAAATGATCAGTAAAAAGAAAATATTATATTGATTTTATCGATCGAAGATTTTATTTATGTATTTATTTTAACAAATAGATATTGGTACAAGGAGGCACCAAATATATATACGCCACACAAATCTCATTTGGTTTGTGTGAGGGCTGTGATACTGCACGGGTGCCCAAACCGAAACAGGTGGTTTTCTTAGGGGGCCACACCCGAAGCCTTCGAACTGAAGGTCTGATCCACAAGGCAGTGGAGCATCGTAAGGAGATGCAGTCCCATGATGGACGTTATCCAACGATTGGTTCATACTCCATTTGTTCCTTCAGGATACTGGAGCCAGCCCATGTGAACGATTGGTTTGGAATCAGGTTAAAGCGCTGGACATTCGATTTTCGTCCTCTGATTTTCGTAAACAACACCCGGTTGGCGAGAAGGCAGTGAGTAGGACTTCCCTGGCAGAGGCTATATACACATGACCATGTGAGAGCATTTGAAGAGGGTGAGCGGACTCTCTCCACTCTCGGTCGTACCAGGGCATTTGGGTGAATATATATTACATTGTAATAAAGATGACTCATTATCGAAAAAAAATTTATTGAGTGATTCACAAATATAATTTGGATAACAACTATACGGGACTGACATATTATAACTTAATCCCGATTATTTCTGTGACCATTATTGAATATCATTATGTAAAATAAAATTATGATTAGAACAATAGTAAAATTCTTTGAATGTTGTCTTCATTTAGATTTATTATATTGAAGTAGATTTTTAAGGATAAACAATTGTTCAATCATCTTGAGAATAGAAGTTTAAGTACAGTCGACATTAAATAAACTATGCTTATATTGATAAAATGTCACGTAGAATTTCTTCTCTTCTAATCCCAGTAAGAATTAGAATGTATTGAACATCATGTGATTCTCTTTTTATTTCGTTAGGTTCTTATCAGTTGCTTACAACCTAAAATATTTGAAATTCAACGTTATTACAGATATTGACATACTCTTATATATCAGAGGGTGATGAAGGATGAATATAAGT